CCTTGTCATACATGGTGCTGACTAATGACTACTCTTCTCTGCTCTAATGATGCTCCTCTGGTGCAAATGAGCAGCCGCAAAACTCTCAACTCCGTGACTCGCCTCAGCTTCAGCTCCTTCTACTGGTGCTTAATTGAGCAGACCTTCTTCAGCATGACAAAACTTTTGGCCTGAGGGCTGACTCACTGTCCCCTCGTGTGTCCTCGCATGTAATTAGTGTAAATGTGAGACAACTACACATGACAGATGTACATATGTGAACATGCTAGAAGCAAATTATCTCATGAAGTGAGGCATTAGTGTAGATAAGGTGAAGCTCTACATGGAATTTGAATAGATGATAAAGTGTGAGTAAAGAGTAGAATTAATATGTAAAATAGTAAACTGTTGCCTCCTGAGTTGGGCAACCATCTAAATATTGGCCCTATTTTTGGAAGATTGCGATCTCCAGTGATGCCACAGTCATCCATGGCTGGGAGTCCAAGAGAGCAGAACTGGCCCCACTTTCTGGATGACTGTCCCTCCCGCCTCCACTTAGCATGAAGCTTCTGTTATCTGATCTAACAGAACTGGTAGTTAGTGTTCTCCTCCAAGCGTGTTGAGCTGTCTAATGACGTTTGAAGTAGTGGCAATTTAAAAAGATGTGCTGGTGCTTCACAAGTCCTTGAGGAAATGTGTTATGCTTCACCATCCCAGCTTGGTAGCATTGTTTGACATAGATAGACCTAGCTAGCAAGTGGAAGTGGCAAAGACAAAAAAACCGGGGTGAAAATTGGGTAAACATGAAAATGAAGCACATTATTTATTTGCATTCTGCTCATTTCTGGCCAATTTTAGTTTGCTTATATGTTCAGCTGCTGACTGAAAAGCTTATGATCAATGATAGGTTTGGTACTTGATTCTAGTAGTCATGTGGTCTTGTTCAGAATCTGACCAAATCGGCTGCACATAGAATGATATCTTATATACATTTTTAATGTATTAATTTCACTTGTTTTCTATGGGGTAAACATTATAAAAGCAGATTAAATGGCAAAATTAGTTATCAATGTGCAATGCCCTCAGTGAGCATAAAATAAGAATCAACATGTTGATATTAGTGTGTTACTAGAATGTGGTATGTGCTCTCTGTTAAATACAGCATGCATAATGGACTTGAGTACTGGGAATATTGTAAAACACATTTATATTGTAGTATGTGAACTGTATACAATAATGGTCTCTTCACCACTTTTTTCATTACACACACAATATGGACTGCAAACTGCTTCCTTCCTTTTGTGACTGTGTATTTGCTGTTTAAACCTTTGCATATGACTGCAGAAGATAGATAGATAGATAGATAGATGGATGATAGATGGATGGATGGATGGATGGATTGATGGATGGACGGTTGGATGGACAGGCATGCAGACAGACAGACAGACAGACAGACAGATAGACAGTTAGATATGTAATTATTTCAGCCAGACAGGTTGTTTCTTCTCATAATTTGTAAATGGATTTCTTTGATAGACTTTTTTCATTTTTAAAATTTTTAAATCTTTTTATACAGTTAATAAACATCAGCCCTACTGATGACAGACTTCTTTAAAAAATAAAAAATGAAAAATATTAAATGTAACCTTTTTGAACCTCAATATCACCATCCACCAGGTCTTCATCTTTATTAAAGGTCCAGCTGGAGAAAAGTGCTGAGACAGTGAAGTGTTTGTGTGTGCTTGGCGTGTGGAAACTTTTATTGACAGCAGTGTAGAATAAATGTCAGTGAAGTGGGCAGTAAAAGTGTTGGAGATTTGTGTCGGGGGGCTGGTGTAAGCTGTTTTCAGTTCGCTGGCCATGGTGTAAGTAGAAGGTCACAGGCGTGTGTTCTGTGTCTGCTCTGACATTTGGACTGAGGGCTGTTTCTCTGTTTTTCCTCTCCTGACTCAAGTGTCTGAAAGGCGGATTATCCCACAGGGACACTTGGGACACGATGACAGTGGGAAAGGTTGGGGAAGGACAAGGAGCAGTGGGGGCATATGGGCTCCACCTAAGAGAAAAATAATTAAGATGAAAGTTTGGTTGATTTGAACTCTTGCTTAAAAAACACTGACAGTGTCTGTTTAAGAAAACAGCATTCAGGAATGAGATGCTATTTTGATTGACAAATAAACATAATTTCAGCAATTTATTAGGCACTCATAACTTACTAGCTAGACTAAAAAGCTAAGCACCGTTGTTTGTAATTGTGAAAAGTGGGATTTATGCGAGGTTTTGCTTTTCAAAATAAGCTACAACTGAATGACTTAAAGCTGCTGGATAGTGTAGTGGATAACACCACCAGTCTGGACACTGAGGTTCACTTGCCTGCTGTTGTGAGAACACACCCCACTACACTCTTAAATAAATGATGCCACAAAGGTACAATGCCTTAGAAGATTCACTAAAGATCCATAATCCCACATTACATTGTTTCTGATAACTGTGTAGTTACACATTAACAATACATGCAACAACAATGTAACTACTAGTCCTGTATTCACTGTTACATATTACACACAGCTTACATAAAAACACATGCAAATACATTGTATCAACTTATCAACATCCATTTACAAGGGTATCTTGACAGCTATAAAAACATATTTCCTCTCAAGTTATTATGTATATGTAATAGGGTAATTACATTGGTATGATCTTTCCAAAAAGATATTACTCATTGTAACAGGAGAAGTATAGCTAGCTATATTAAAATAGTGCTTACACAGGAAGTGCCAGCGTTCTTAACATTTAGCTAGCTGTAGTATTGCTTGTGTGGTAACATGGTAACCACAGTTCTGGCTTATAAACATCTGTAATGTGATGGAATTTGCATAGCAACAGGAAAATGTGCTGGTACAAACATCAATATACTGCATTCTCAGAATTAAAGGTAGTAAACTGTCACTGTCTTGTCACTGGGGTGGGACCCTTAAGGGTACATCTCAGTACCCTTACTCAGGGAACATAACTGTACCATGATCCATTGAAATGATATTTTCTAAGTTGTACTGACTCCACACACCCCGTCTCGTCTCCAGGCTTTTTATTTTATTGTTCTGTTTTAAAACATCAGTTATGAAAAGGTACAAATACAAACTTTTCACCTGGAAAAAAAAAACTTATTTAAGGTACACAATTGGACCTTAAAACCACTGTTGTACCTTTGAGGGAACATTTACCTTGTTTTTACCTGGATGATCGAAAAATATACCTGCACAGAACCTTTATTTCTAACACCGTACCCCTCTATCAATAATATATTTAAAGCAAAATATTATAACACTATGTTTCAAGCATCAAGCAACATACATGTAATAACCTCCTTTTTTGTTCTAACTTTTCCCAATAGCCTTTTCAAGTTTACCAATGTGTCTTCTTCAGTATGAAGAGCAGGTGATAAATAATGATTTGACTTTTTTTTTTTTGTTTGTTTTCCAACTTGTTGAAAGCTTGAACTGAAGCTCTTTGGTCCAAAGGTGGTTGACAACATCTGAGTGTTTTGAGTGCTGACATCATAGCAAGGGATTAAATGGGTGGGCTTTGGTATTATTTTCAGGGTTTTCTCAGTTGTTCCTTTTGGCAGTTGTTCCTTCAGTTTTGCAGTTTTTTGCAAAGAAGACTGGTGAGATCTAAACAGCAAAATCCATTTAATCTGCTCCTGCAAATCAACAAAGAAAAGGTTTTGACAAACAAATTAAAAACCTTAGTGTCCCTGAAATGTTGTGGCATGTTGTGCCAGGTTTACCGAAAGAAAGCGGGCTTGGAGCAGATCCAGCGTCATTCATTTGTCCATTGATCAGAAAGTGCTGACGTAGGTAGGATCTGTCCTGTGATGGTGTTAAAAAGAATGTCAACACTTCTGACTCACAACCAAAGCTGAAAGCGTCCCCTGCTCATGCGTCAATACTCCTCAATTCAGTAAACGTGACTAAGTAGCTGTGTTCCAGTAATACAGTCAACACCCACAGAAACCTCACAATGAGTCACGATCAAGACTCTTTCTTTGGTGAAATTGCCTTTGTCTTGTAGGTGGATGCCAATATAAACACTAATGCCTTTATTTAATGTGGTTTGATGTGTGATATAAAAGTTCACATTAGTGCAAGAAGTTTGACTTGTTTTCCAAACACTGATTTTATTGTGTGTAGTATCCACTCTGTCCATCTATCTATCTATCTATCTATCTATCTATCTATCTATCTATCTATCTATCTATCTACATTAGATATGTTATGGAAAATATACATTATAGCCTTCATTAATTAGTTGTTAGTTATTTAGTTTAATATAAGCATGATTCCCAAACTTTATTTAAACATTCAACATAAATCCTTCAATATTAAACAAGCAGCCTGATTTTTAATTCATTTATGTTATTTTACTTTTTGAACATAAAATATTCATTTTAAAATGTATTTATTTATTAATCGGGGTAGCAAACAAATGACTGAATGAATAAATAAATATTTTTTTTTTTCTTTAATTAAACATAAAACCTGTTCTTTGTCTATTTAATTAAACATTACATACATACCAAGCTTTATTAATTTAATTATTTAGTTATATATTCATTGAATCATTAGACATACATAATGAACTTTTATTTATTAAATAAATAAATAAATAAATAAATAAAGTTCTTTCTTTCTTTCTTTCTTTAATTAAACATAAATCCTGGACTATACTGATTTAATTAAAAGTGACATACATCCCAAACATTATAATTTAGATTCTTTATTTATTTGTTTATTGAATCATTACACATATGATGTTGATTTTGTTTCTTGATGTGAACATCAAATGCACATCCAGTAAATGACTTTCTATTTATTTGTTTTAATAAATATTTGTTTATTTATTCTGTAGAGCGAATGGTCAGTCAGCCTACCATATTACGTTATTAAATTATAATGCATCAGCTGATATTTTCATCATGTTCTCATCCTTATGGCTCACTGTTTTTGTGTTTTGTGCAGGTGTAAAGAAGGCTTCCAGGGGATTCGCTGTGACCAGTTCCTGCCCAAAACGGACTCCATTCTGTCCGATCCCAGTGAGTGTCCATTTTACGCCTGACTTATTTATATACAAACACTGTATTGCTGTTTTGGTGGGTTGTACCATGTTATGCTGTATGAGTGTAAATGCTGCTGTGCTCCATCTACCCAGCCTGAACTGTAACCTGAGCTCAGTGGCCTCTCTCACTTTTTAAAGCACTGTCTCTCCCTCATGCAGAGCTGTCAAATGTGCCAACAATGGTGATGTTTTTGTCATCATGGGCATATTTTCAGTCTCAGAAAGAGTTAAAAACAACCACCCTTCATGTAATTGATTTCCAGCCATTACGTTTTTTAAATTTTTACATTTTTTCAATTAGATTATAAATAAGATAATTTACTTGAAAAGGTGACAAAAGCAGCTTTGAAAACTAGATTTGAATAAAGACATACAGAGAATTGAATATCTTAAAAATCCACTTCCGCTGTTGATTCAGATCTGAAAACATCCACAGATGCTTATGTCCATCCCTCCACTGTGAGAAGATAACTCAACACTATGCGTCTGAAAGGATGTGTAGCTGTGAAGAACTTCTTACTGATCAAAAAATGAAAGTTTTCAAATCAAATAAAAAGTTTTTGGTGTCCTCAGAACAGTGGACTGACCATCCCAGGGTCCAGACCTCAACATTAGTGAATGTTTTTGGGATTATTTGGGAGCAGAAAATGCAACCAAATTCTAAGACTGAACAAATTCCCTCAGATGTATTTGAAAACCAGTAAGTAAGTCCCCTAAAAAGAATAGAAAATTTAATAAAGACAAAGGGTGGATACACTTAGTACAGAATATTTTGGTATTGTGTTTGTTTGTTGTGTCATTTTCTATTGTTTTTTTCATTATTAACTTTTTCCTTATGCTGAAAAATCAATCATTTGTATTTAATGGCCATTTTGTCCATAAATTAAATAAATGTATGGTTGTATCTGCCTTTTGCATAGTACTATACAGGGACACAGTGACTGTCCACTGAGCAGTAGCTATCTGATACAGAACCACTGAGCATTAGAACTTGTGCAACATGAGTTTAGTAGAAACTAGGTATCAGGTTTGGCTTGCAGGTTGAACAGTATGAGCTTTAGAGATTTAAATCATATGTGAGAAGCCTTTGAAAATGATTCTGCAGACACAAACTCTCCCAGTGGCTCATGCATTCACACTGGCTCATCAAAGCTTCATTCCTTTTCCCTGAATAATGAATGAAATTCTGACATGATGCTCTGACTCTGTGATGGGTTCCTCAGGAATCTGACACAAGCCGTGTCTGTAAACAACTCAGCTTCTCAGTGAAATTGTTTCTGTAAACGGCCCGAACAAAAGCCCATTGGCAAATGGATAATCGGAGAGTCATTTCATTGTAATGCACAAATGCATCAGAGACGTTTCAGATTTCCTGTATTGTTATGCATGGATTCATCAGAGACAACAGAGATTCAACAAACTCCCAGCTTGAGCCGCTAGCACTGTGAAAATGGTCTGGCAAATTGTGTGCTATAAGTACAGTGTATCTAATAAAAAGGGAATTTATCTTGCTCTGCTTGACCTTGACCAACCTATTTATACATAAACAATGGAACTTTGATGAATTGATGCTAACACTATTGCTGATTAGGCGTGAATAAGATCTATTACATAGTTATTAACATATAATTACATCGTAATTACAATATAATAAGTTGTATTCCATTCAAATTAGTATTAGAAGACTTTAACCTGCACATTTGACTTATTTCCATTTGTTTTGGTGTCAAAAAGTATATATATATTTTTTTGCACAAAAGTTTATGTAAAACAATAACTTTTTCTCATAATTTAATTTCTCCTCTTCAATTTATGAAACACATAATCAACTGAAAGAATCTGCACTTTCAACAGAATCTATCTGCTTATTTTAAGTCAGAAAGAATTAAACAAGTCATTTATATCATGAAGAACTTAGGAGGGTTAAAATACCCCAATAACACAATCCTCAAAACCAGCTTTATTCCATAACATTAAAAGATGTCAATCTTTATTCTGTCTCTACTGTTTCTACTAAAATTAGTTGCCCAGTCTTTTTAGACTCTTTTCATTACTACAGTATTGTGTCCCTAATGTTCTTTTATCAAGGGCCAATTCACACTGATTTCCATGTATAGCATATGCAGTGGACATATTGTATACATTAATTTTTCAAAGCTATATGCAGGAGGACAGCTTATAGAGATGACTCTTGCATCTCTTCTGGGCTTTTGTTTTACACTGTGCTCTCACTGTCAAGGTTAGATGTTCTGTATAAGTGAACCTTCTTTTTCCATGTAGTCCTTTTTTTCAGTTTCAAGGTAAATACTGGACTCTTTTCAGTGGAAAAATGGTTTGACTTACCACTGTGTTGCAGATATGCCACGTCTTAACTTATCTGTCCTGGCATTTGGACAAGGAGACACACATCAGGGTTTAGAAAAATGGAATTAGGCACAGTTGAGCAAACAATCTGTACAAGCTGTGCAATATTTCTTCGATGTGCTCATGCATTCGCAGTGCTAGAAATCCATTCTTTTTACTGTGTTTGCCTGTGCATTCTGATCCCAGAGCTCCTACACTGAGAGGTGGGAACTGTGCCACAACCCTGGCAAAGAAATGCTTGCAAGCGCTAACAGCCCACCGGTGGCTAAGTAGCAGTTTACCCCAGGGCCACCTTCTTAATATCAATGAACTACCATCATGATGGACTGCAGCCCAGCAGTAGCAACTGGCAGTGATACTTTTATGAAATTTGCAGAAAGTGATTGTTGGACAAGCTCCACTAAGCCACTATTCATGATGCTTCCACTTTTATGGACACCAGACCTGAAATGGCACCGTGTCCTTGGACTCATAGAGTTTGTCTCAGGTACCTCCTAAAAACAGTAGATGACACATTCATGACAAACTGAAATTCTGGATTTTTGAACACAGCATCTCCTGCTTCCTAGCTAAAATCAAGCAATTTCAGCTGCTTGAGGTCTAAAAACTGTGGACACTCACTTAAGCTAGCACTTGTTTGGCTGCCATGTAAATATAAAATGTTCTTATAATGTGTTTACATTTGAATTAGAGGTGCTTATTTAGTGTTTATATACATACATACATATATATATATATATATATATATGTGTGTTTTTTTTGTTTTTTTATTTTTTGGATACAGGCCATAGCAATTCACTAATGTAGCTAATATAGCACCAGAAAATGAATGGAACTCATCTTGCACCAAACAGCTTAACCTTACAGCTATCCAATAGCCCCTTGTGTTTCCAAGTGGGAATTACAAGTCAGCTCTCTTGAGAAACTTTCCAAGTGGGAATTACAAGTCAGTTCTCTTGAGAAACGTTTCAATTGGGAATTACAAGTCAACTCTCTTGAGAAACCTTTCAATTGGGAATTACGAGTCAGCTCTCTTGAGAAACTTTTTAATTGGGAATTACTAGTCAGCTCTCTTGAAAAACCTCTGAAGTGGGAATTACAAATCAGGTCTCTTGAGAAACTTTCTGAGTGGGAATTACAAGTCAGCTCTACTGAGAAACTTTCTAAGCGGGAATTACAAGTCAGCTCTACTGAGAAACTTTCTAAGTGGGAATTACAAGTCATCTCTCTTGAGAAACGTTTAATTTGTGTATTACAAGTCATCTCTCTTGAGAAGCTTTCCATGTGGGAATTACAAGTGGAAAGGGTGTTCAAATAGATTTTTCCCACATGACCATTGGAAACATTCCACAGCAAGTGTTCACTATGTTAATGGTAAATATATCAATGCTTCATTAGACAGCAATCTTTCTGTATAGTTTCCTTGTCAGGGAATAAACAATATCTTCACAGTGGATTTATGTATTTATTGTTCATTGCGTTGTCAATGACAACCTCAATGCAGTTAGCAGTTATGATTTATGAATCTGTGGTTACTCCTCCTCCTTCTGGAGGTCTACTTTCCTGCAGAATCAATTATCACATCTAACATGGTGTTTCCCCCTTTCACATAACACCAATGCACCTGATCCAGCCAAGGTGTTCTGAGGATATTCATAAGCTGGAGCAAGTGTGGTTGGAAGGTAAATATCCATGACCAGAAGATAGTGACCACTCTAAACCATACAGACATTTTCCTTGTTTTTCTTCATTTTATGGGTAGTGAAACAGAAGTGCCCAGGCTTGGTATGGATTAGAGTTGTCAGTGTAAGAGTCCACTGGCCAGGCCGACAGACTCTACCCAAGCTTCTGCTGCAGAGTTGCTTCTACAAGTGACATGCTCTGCAGAATAGGGCACCACTTGTTTCCTGCGTCCTTGAATTCAGTGGACAGATATCACGTTCTTCCTATTTCTCTTTGTCTCTCTACCTCCAGTGCACTTGCACAGACTTCAGCATCAAAGTCTTCACAAGAGATTTTCTTTTCATGTTGTCCACTCTCGATAAAAAGAAAATAACGCAAAGTCCAGTCACATTATCCACCTGAATACAAATCAATGATGACTTTCTTCAAATAAAGAAGTTGAGAACCACTAGGATAAGGTCTGCTGGCATAGACTGTACTGAAACTTTTATTCTGGCTGTCAGAAAAGAAAATGAAACAATATTTGGAGATAAACTGGGATGAGGTTAAAAGCTGCCTCTGCTCATGTTTCTCCATTCACTTCCCTCTTGGCTTGTTCATTTCTGTTGATTAATAAACATGAGTACATGGTACTGAAACTACCAATCAGGGTCAGACTATCAACAAAATAAGGAAACAAAAATAACTTTCATAGATTAAATACACCTTTAAAAAAGATGATATTTCATGGGTTCTTTAGTAAAGGGATGTCTAGAACCATGAGTTCTATATAGAACCATTGCATGATCAAATGGTTCTTTGCATGATGAAAAAGGTTTTTTTTTCAGATATTTATGTTAAATATGTTGTACACATTTATAAATGATGGTTCTTAAAGGGTTCTTAAGCAAAGAAAATGGTTCTATATCAAACATGAACACTCAAAGAACC